TGTATAGAGGTTGTTTGACCTTTTTTTTGCAACATGGTCATATTGGTAGGAAGACTTAGAGGAACGCACCAAGTCCGGAGTCCATTGTTTGCATGATCATTTCCAAACTTGAACCGTGGACGTGGTACATTCCCAAACGTTTCGCCGGCATCGTAGTCTGTATCGCCATTTTTAGCACACCAGACTTGTCTCTTTGACGAGTTGTTGTGTGGTGCTAAGAATGGCGATACTCACTGACGATGCCGGCGAAACGATTACCTTTAAGTTAGATTAAAAAACAAGTGAAAAACTGGTAAATCTCTACACGCATTGGTGCAGGCATTACCGTCATGGTAACGCATACGAAGGATGCGGCTGTCAGCCTTCTAAGTCCGTTTTACTTCGTACTAACTTGGAACTTTTGAAAGAATGATTTGCAGCTCTGAAGATGTCCGTCATATGACGGACAAAAAATTATCCATGTTTAAACTAAAACGAGGGTGGATTTTTGGCGAATTTAGTCAACCTGAACGTCGTATTAACTCCAAACGGCCACATAACAACGGGAATCAGCTGTCTTCTTCCGGTGGATTGACCCACGAATCTCTTCGTCGTGCAATTTCATACGAAATGAAAGTCTCCACATCAATGCTATCCCAAAAGAATTATCAAAAGCCAGCTACACTTCGTATGTGTGATGACAGACTCGAGCAACCGAGTGGAATCGACTAGCTCGACCGCATCGATAGAGGATTGCACTCACTCTGCACCGGGCCAGGCAGGCTGTCCACTCGTGGTCGGGAGCCTGGGGCCCTAGAGGCGTGCTACCGATGGTCCGCCCTGTCTCCTCATCTCTGAGGCCCCATGATGTGGAGGCAGGAGGGGTGATGATACCAGCTCCCTTGTTCAGACGGCTCAGACCAAAGCCCACTTCGTCTGCATCGTTGGTTGTGACGTTGGAAGAGCTGGGAAGTGAGGTTGTGGCGGTAGGGGCATTGGGCGCGTGGAGACGAACCGGCCTATCACAACCCGAAAGACAGACCAACTCGGCAGACTCCGCCTCCGTCAGCCAGTTGGTCAAATATTGTTGAGTCTGGGTGAACTGTGCCCAACGAGCGAGATGCTGCTCAGCCAAAACTTGAAGCTGAAGAAGCAATAGAATATGCAGAGTTGCCAGTAGATTGCAAATAAAACTCATATCTTTGTGGCAAAATTCAACTACCTCTCCTTCATCATCTTTGACAAAATAGGGTGAATATATCTCAAATATATGATTTACTGGTAGCCTCGAAAACCTACTTACAAACGGAAAACTGTTTTAGTGGCATGAATTTTGATTTCAAAAGAAAAGTTGATTTGAGGAACTTCGTGAAAAGCGATGAACGATTGACCGCCGTGGAATGAAAACTATTGGATTGTGCGAAGACGTCCTTAACTCAGTCCTGCGGCTGCAATTAAGTCGGGCTAAGCGATTTAGTTGGACGACCCTTATTTCTTGGCTTATTATATTTGGTATTTTTTGTCAATTATTTCTCGCTCTGAAGGTATCTGTAACATGACAGACAAAAGCTTAGCACGGATTATTCAAGCTGGCAGGACAATGAGCCAAGGACATTTTAGTACAATCCAATACTCTTTCTACTAGCGAAATCCTTCTTCGTTTTCCAGTGAGACCAATTCACGTATTATGTCCAGCCAACTTTTTCTTAAAAATAAAAAGTTTTCCCAATAGTTATCCTCGAAACCTCCCTTTTTAATATAGTAAACTGTTTTGCTTGGTGATATATGGACGGGTTTTAAGGTGGTCCTCAGTTTTCCGTTCATGGAGGCAATTTCAACCATTTAGTCAGGACACAAAAGTCAGCAGTAGCCATGGCAGCAGGGCAGCAAACAATAGTAGAAATGAAAAGAATAATTGAATTGAAGATATGAAGACCAAGATGGTGTGGCCTTTTGTGTGGTCGCAGTCTCCTTTCG